CCCCCCCTCAGCTTTGATAACTACTCAGCTAATGTGATGGTGGACAGTAAGCCGGTCAACCTGGGCCTCTGGGATACAGCTGGACAGGAAGACTACGACAGGCTCCGCCCACTGTCCTATCCCCAGACGGTAAACACACACACACACACACACACACACACACACACACACACACACACACACACACACACACACACACACACACACACACACACACACACACACACACACACACACACACACACACACACACACACACCATGTCTCCAAACCGTCAGAGGTCCCCATACCGTGATTGACTAAACAAATTGAGGTCCCCAAATAGTGATAAATACCAACTCACAAACACACAGTTCATTACAATAAATACAATCTACTTTGGTGAAACCCAGGAGAATCGTTATATTAAAGCAGAAGACGAAGGGAAAAATAATTTAGATGACAATTTCATCTGTCAAAACGTATAAGAAATTCCTACAAATCCTGTTTAAGGTGAGACTTGATGATTGAGAATATATAATAAATACAAAATTAACCAAATAAATCTATTTTCGTATTCAAAAATCCAATAATACATACATTATATACCTGCATATATTGTCACTGGCTTTGGCCACATCACAGTATTAAATAGTATGAAATAAAAACATTTTAATCAAAGAAATTAATTAAAACATTGAGTTATTTCCACAAAGGAACATTTTCTGAATTTCTTTTTTTACATTGTTGTTTTTATCCTTACATGTATGTAGAATATGTCCTGGATATAATATGATTGTGTATTTTTGTTACACACATCTAGACTAAGTTCACTTGTTCAGTGTTCACACAGTTGCTCTATTGTGTAGTACTGTGGATTACATTGCTTCATGTACATGTACTATACAAATAACAACATTCATTTTCATTAAAACAAAACAAATACAAACCATAACTGATTTCCATTGTAACAGAGATTCCCGCATGATTATATTTTTCAATTGCATGCCATGTATTGATTGCAAAAGGGATTTGAGTTTGTATCCTCAAGGTTGATTGCACTTTTTCTAAGTTGGTTTGACAAAAAGCGTCAGATAAATGTAATGCAGTGTAAAGTTATCTATAATCTAAAGGACTCTCTCTCCTGTCATTGTGTATCCTGCAGGATGTTTTCCTGATCTGTTTCTCTCTGGTGAGCCCGGCGTCCTACGAGAACGTCAGAGCAAAGGTGAGTCTCGTATCTATGGTACATCCTTATCTGGATGATTTGTTGTGATTAAAATAGATTTGAGTTAAGATTTTGCGAATTTTAAGAATATTTTCTGTATAGGATGGTAAGAATTGTAAAGGATTTCCAATAAATTACTTGGAAAATGATTATTTCCACTCTGCAATAATGGTACTTTTAGGCCTCGTCCACACGGAGACGAAACCGATTTCGAACCGAAGTCGATTTAAAAAAAGTCTTCCGTCCACATGGAATCGGCTCAAGAAATGTGTCCGTCCAAATGAAACCGCTCGAAACCACTGGAGACGCTGTAGTACATGTGCCGGGCCTGTAAGTAGCGCTGTACTTCCGCTACAAAATACACCAAACGCAGCGAAGAAGACCCCAGAGCATGGGCATAAGGCATACACAAACAGCTGTAGATGTTGCACTAAAATCTGTATCATGGTCAGTAGCGTCTGGAGTACGAAAGCAACCCTGTGATCCGCCATTGTTGTTGTTGGCGAAAGCAATGACGCGGGGGTGAGCAGGAGAGGTGGGCAGAGGCGGGGCTATGGCATCATCGATTCAGGAAAATATCGTATAGGGCGTACACACAGAGCCGCAAGCGTGTCATCTCCAGACTTACCCACTTTGGGAGCCGTTATCAAAGTGTGTCGGATTCGGGCTCCGAAGCCGCGGCTCCGTTTCGGCCTCGTGTGGACGAACCGTCTACGATAAAGAACTTTAGCGCATACAACTGATATCGTCTCCGTGTGGACGGGAACTTAGTCAAGTAAAGGATCGGACCACTTCGGCCACTGTTTTCCTAAAACACAAATCATTTTGTGGCAGTCCGTTCCAACACGGTCCAAAGATATTAGATTAAATATATTATATAAACTGAGAAAGGCAACATAAACAGAAGCTGGAACCAAATACTTTCTGGTGGTTTTGCCTGATACACGACTTGAATGTACAATTATTAAATATTCAGGTCTAACCCTTTTAAGGTTTCCGTCCATCCCTATTCTATTCCTGCATATTTCTATCAGGGTCATGCACTCTTAATCCTTCAGCCATTCAATCAACAAACATCAGAAGCAAACACTTGCATGTTTGTAGCATTTTGACACTAATAGCTTTCCTGTATGTCACTCTCATCTCAAGTGCTTTCTTGGTTTTAGTAGTTTTTTATGTACTCTCCTTTTCTTGCACATGCGATGACGCAATCATCAAAACCGTAACAAAAGCAGAGCCTCTGTTAAAACACTCGCTGTTCCTCAACTCTATCCATCCCCTATAGAAACATCAATACTATAAACAAAATAAACATTTCAGGAATATTGGTTAGACTTGATTGATATGATTCACATATTGGTACCATGAAGTGGTTTGCTCTTAGATTAGATGATATGGAATGAAACTCAAGAGAAAGAACCAAAAAGGTGGATTTTATTTTAAGTGAAGCTTCAATAAAGGAAAGGGGGCATACGTTATAATTTTACACCCAGAAAACTATTGCCAAGAAGTACAAATAATAACTGCATTACCTATTTGTTTGTAAGATAAAGAGATTTCACTTTTGTATTGTCTTTCCGTCAATAGGCAACTTTTGTTGACCCGGTCCGGTTTGA